AGCTCCCCGTACAACGGAAATTATCTTGCTATATCCACTCAAAGGATTCAGAATCTATGATCCTTCAATCACGATGGCTTCAAAGCAAGGATCTGTTCAGGATGGTGTCTACCCACTCGGTCACATCTGATCCTTTGCGCCACTGTTACCACTGCGCAATTTGTCTTTCGAGAACCCCTTGTGGACTTTTCCGATACCAGCAATACATTTCGGTTACAGTCGCACAGTCGCACAGTCGCACAGCGCTAAGAAGCGAGTTGCATTCTCAGGCACCTCCGAGTGTGGACCACACTTTGTCTCCAACGTCCTCAGTGTCGTCGCTTTTTTCTTCATCAGCACGCAGGGGTTCAGAAGCAAGAGCAACAACGGCCAACGAGCGGGCCGAATGGGGCAGCAGAAAACCCAAAGGGTCAACGGCAAAATTGAGCGGTCCAGTTGTATGTCTCGTACCCTGTTCCCTCCCCGCCGTTTTGAGCATGTTTTCCGGATCCATTACGCCACGACAAGGGATCGCGTAGATCATTCTCGATCACCGCGTCGAGGTTGGATCGGCTGACGGTGAGATTCACCAGGATACAGTACGGCCAAGTCTCAGATCAGCCGGATCAGAGGGGTTACCAACCAATGCCGTCTTTGCCGGATCACGGGTGAATGCTAATTCGTCTTCGATCTAACCGTCTGTTCCTCTGCTCTGCGTATCGCCGCCGACGAATCTCCATAAGCATGGTGTTCGGTACGACTTCCGTTAACGGTCGCAGGCGGTACCTGCCGCGGGTACGCCTGCCTCCTCCAAAGACTTGTTAGCTGGTTCGAGACGAAGAACGGCACGTCCAGTGCTGCTGTTTCAGCCGTTCTACCACAAGATCCACTTCTGCAAGACATCCAAGCCATTCACCAGCTAACCTTCTCTGGCGTTGCAAAAGCACGAGCACATCAAACAAGGTATGTGGAGTTCGCAATGTGAAGCTCGTAACCCCCTGACCCGGTTCAGTTGCGTATCAGAGGCCGGCAGTACTCTATAGTGGATTCAAATTGTGGAAATGCGATATCTTCTAGACATGACTGGACACGCTCAGGATTCTTTTTCTAGGCCCTGTCAAAGTGATTCGGCGTGACCCACCAACGTCCGCGTCGGCCTGCCTCAGTCCCCTGTCTGCGCAGAAATCGTTAGCGCACCCTCCTCCGCGTGGCTGACGCTCTGCGAAGCTATTCGTAAACGTTGTGTGACAGGACGTTAGTATCGTTTTGCCGGCGCCATCCTAACGCTACCGGCCACACCATGAGATCGCTGCTACTGCTACACGCTCACGGCCTTTCTCACCACATTTGGTCTACTTCAAGTGTCAGATCTCGAGGAGCCGCCTCTAGTCCTACCCCGTTTCTTTCTTATTCGAGCCATCAGTGTGACGGGGGACGAAGTCAGTCGAGACCTGCTGAGGAACGCTGTGGGCGACAGCACAGAGCTTGCTTCTGAAAAGTGGTTCGATATCCGCATATGGCTTGTATTCCGCCTAACGGTTTCCACCACTGGAATTCCTCCAGACCGCGTAGTGCTCCAGAAGGATCACATAGTCGCGATCGTCGCCGATCTATGCTCAACATGATCCGCAATTATAGCGCCAGGGGGTAATCAAGGAGAGTTTTGTTCACACGGCGGTCGATTCACAGGTGCATAATGAACGCAGGACCAAGCTCACAGTTTGCCGCTGTCAATGCGCCTAACTCTAGACTTGGGGTGATACGCTGCAGCTTTCGTCTATGCCGTCAGTGACCGTTGTTTTGCATCCTTAACGTCTATCTGGAGGAAGCTTCTTGTGGGACACGAATGCGCAGCCCATCGACGATGCAAGGGAGTCGAAGGATGCATCGTAAGATTGGCCCGAGGGGCCCACGACACGTCAATCATGAACCCACGATCTCCGTTTGAACTTCGGCTTCTAATGACTAGCACATGTGAGACCCGGTGCCGCGGGCAGATCCCAAATCCCTTCTAGTGATTACGGATCAACGTGCCCATCTGGGATCTCGAGTTCATATCGGCACACGCGCATATCTCGCATTCGGAAGGCCACCCGCTTCATCCCACCTGCAAAATTCGTCACATGTAGGGGCAGAACCGCGCCAGGGTTTTGGAAATCGGGCCTCACGACAATACGAGAGTGTTGCGAAAGGCTCAATGATTTGATAGCACAGCAACCCTGTTGACGGCAGCGAGACGCCTCAGTGCATGCACTTGCTACAGTATACTCCGAAGCTACTGCTGCAATGAATATTGGGTGTGTTGCATTGCATATCGCCGAAGATTGCGCAGCAGACGACTGCCGTGGGTAAGAGTGTGGGGCACAAGATCACTGTCACGGTCGGTCGGTCCTTTAACAACGTGAAACTTGTCAGCAGATCCACGTTATCAACCTGGCTGTCGGGAGCTGTACCGTCCAAGTCAAGTGTATACGTGGACATCACTCTATCGAAAGCTAATCTCCATCAACACCGGGTAAGACGTTTACGTGTGGTGGGCATGTAATACCGGTCGGGCTTATGCAGCCTGGGGGATCATAACATGGGTTTTGGTCTGTCTCCCTCACACTACCCCGTGCTGGTAAGCGCAGCGCAATCTCGATCGCTCAATGATATGGGTTTTCTTTCTTTCCAGTCTGCATGCATGCGTAACGGAATGCTCCGCGAGCAAAGCAGCATGTCACTGCCGCACTCTGTAGCCGTTCCAAACTTTGGTACATCGCCGACGACGTCTACCTGCACCCGATGAAAAGGAGGTGTGCCTAAGTCTAACCATATCTACCGCACATCGCAATGTCTCTTTAGCTGCTTCCTGGTTCTTGTCCCTGGCTCGATACCCGGAGCCAGTGCGGGATCTGCCTGTCTGCTTGCTTCAAGCTTGATATGCCGTGACGGAGGCAAGTATGACGACATTAACGACCCACAACGTCTATCACCAAGGTTCGAGTTCAAGATGCTTCTTCCCACTCGCGGTTCACCACTACATCATGCTTCAGATGTAACTTGGTTTCAAAAAAGACGTTATTACAAGGAACCGGGTCTAGCAATATACCTGTCACTCTCCAGGCCGCACAAACCTTTGCGTCATTCGTGGGAAAACCACATCCCTGGTGGTAACGAACATGCACGCATCACTCTCACTCCCGCACATCCTGCAGCCAGCCATGCCAGCCCCCCAGCTTACCCGAACTCGGAGCCGCCGCAATCCTTCATCCCATCCCATCACGTATCCTCGCTCTATAACAGGGTAATATTATCATCAGCACATCTATTCCGCCAAAAGGCTTGGGCACGGTTACGCCGAAGCCAGCTAAGCCCATCTTCTTTCTCCCCGTCTCTCCGCATATGCGCCGTTGATCCAGGCTACTGTGATCCATAATACATATGACGTGTGCCATCATGTGCACCTAGCGATGTTAACTTCGATAAAGTCCGTGAAATAGGCCGTTTGTACATCTGCTGTACTTTTTGGACGAATCGCTTAGACGCGCACCGAACTACACGTATGCTTTATGCAAGATGCACGTCGATGCTGCCGCCCTTTCTTTGTCTCATGTCGTCTCGCTTGTTCGCTCCTCTATCGTCGATGCACGCTGTGCATTTTTCCCGCCGCTGCCAATGAGTGCTGGTGCATTTTGAAAAGTTGTCGTAATGTATGCGTGGTCCAGGGTAGGCGAGATGGATTCCCCTCGAACGATGATGCGATGCGTTGTTAGTGCGGATCTATGATCTGAGGTGATTGCATCGGCAAAAGATGGGGCTGGGGCGTGAACGAGACGTAGGTCAGCGACGTAATTATGTTATGGTGTGTTGACTGTGTGTGTGTGTGTGTGGCTTGAGTAGAGGGCTAGTGTATGGCAATGCTAGTACTGGTGACGGCATACCTTTGGGAAACATGTGATGGTTGTAGCGGTGAGTGCGACATGCTATTTGGGCTGGTTCAAGTGACAGGCATCGTCATTCCTTTCTCCTGGCAAACAAAATAATACTCATCATTGTAATGCACTTTGACGTATTAGTGGATGAAGCTGGGTACCTCGCTCGAGCGACTATAGCACATCTCGTCGAAACTTGTTCTGCATGTTTTGCAAAACGAGACATGATTTTTGGAACATTCGACACGAGGCAAGTATGATTTGGTAACACCGCTAGTATTGCCTACACTGATTGTCGACTACTGTGCATTTTGCGCTCACTATCGTCTTCTCTACTTTTGCCATCCCAGTCTCGATTCACCCACTGCTCCATTTCCATCTGCTTTTTTTCCCCCTCTACCCTACAGCTTGACATCGCGCTATCGGTAGTATATTCCATGCTTTGCAACCTACTCACGAAGCTAGGCGTGTCTCGCTCATCATAATGACAGCTAACCTTCATAGCCGAGCTGTTTGCTCGTCGTTTTAGAGATACTCAAGTGGCGATTGGTTCGATGTGATATCACATCACGGTGCTAAGCTTGTCGACAACAACAAGGATTTGTGCGCAAAGCTCCTCAACGATTGCTTTTTTCAACCCCCAGGGCTGAGCCTCAAGTAGATCCAATGAGGGCGAGGGATTGTTAGGACGAATTAGCATTCTGAGAAAAGACAAGTGACTTGCCAGAGGTGGTAGTATTGTAGCAGAATGCCACAAGGACAAAGTCTTGCATCGAGGAGATATGTGATATGTGCACATGAACACCAAATATGAGCAATCTTTGCTGTGTATGCGAACAACTGAAATTTTCTGCTGGCCATGTGGCTCTGGTTTTGTTGAGTATATTGTTTACTCCTCGACATTAGGTACCCAAGGTGAAAGAAGTCCATCTTGCGCAAATCTCACCTCACCGAATGATAGTCGAGAGGATATGCCACATCTTGTGTTAGTCTGCGTTGATAAAAGGTGCACCATGTATCTGTTAGTCGAAGCTAGTGTGAACCCATAAAGGTAGCTGATTATAACTTCTCCTCTTCCTCACGTGCCCAGATTTCCATTGACGAAAACTACTCGTAACCAGGTATATGATGCATTCCGCCAAAAGCGGGCATGTATAGACTGAAGTCTTCTCCAAACAGCCGCCCACCATCGAATACTTGTGTATAAGACTCGAGCATCCTCATATACTCACTTGTCTGCGGGTTAGCGTGACGGAACTTGTGTTCCCGATCATATATGACGAGGTTGATAACGTCGTGATATTTGCCAATGAGGTTCCTGTCCAGAAACAGCGCAGCGGGACCTTTGCCGCCTGGTGCCTCGCTTGAGAGATCTGCGATGAGTTGCTTGACTGGAACTGTCGGGTAGCAGGAGAATACAAGCGAAGATTCGTTGATTGCCAGAAACCCCTCGGGATCGGAGACGACCTTGATCGGTACCGGCAGCTCAGACAGTATCAACCGGTCGAGCTCGTTGTAAGCGGGATCTTGCGCAATGATTGTGATGTGTGTGTCAACTGGAAAGCCTTCTGCTTCGTAAATCCGTTCTAGAGCTTGGGCGATAGAAGAGGCAACGAAATGCTGTACTGCCCGGCTGGTCCTCCTTGGATGTGGCACTTGCAGGGTGCCCAGTCCGATGCAGACGATGTTGGTAATCCGTGCTGTGTGCTTCAGTCTGTTCAGGCTGTTGAACAAGACATGGCGTGGGTGAGTTGTCTGCCAATGCTTTTCTGCCTCTTGCATCCAAGACCTCAAGCGGATACCGTAGCGTAGATCGGTAGTTTCTTCGACCTTTTTATCAATCGCGACGTAGATTGGGAGCATGTCGTCGACGCTGAAGTGGTAACCTGGCGGTGGAGTGGCAAGCAAGTGAAGTCCGTTGTAATCTAGCAAGAAATCTAGGGAGAAATATTGACTGTCTATGCGTCAGTGTCAAAAACATAGAAATGAACGTACTTCGAAGACATGTATATTAATCTGCGTTGCAGCTCTCCTAGAGTACAGTATAGACTTGTAGGGTGTTCTTTCACGTCCGCGTAAGTAGAGCACAAATTGGACACACCTGTGAAAAGATATGTCTTCATCTGGATAGACTCTTGTCGCACCATAACAATCTGTTAGTGTGATGTTGAGACCATTTCGAGCCCTGGTCAGCTGCTCTGCGACATGGCGAAGCATGGACCGACTATAAAACGGTCGGTCCCCGAGTGACTTCATGAATGCCTTGATGTCCACAACTATATGGGAACTGTTTGATAATCCAAGACCGACATCGTGGATTGAATCTGCGAGTGAATCGTTCGTTTGAGACGGAAGTGTTTCGTTGACTGATCCTTGGAATTGTTGTGCGTCAATGGGACATGTATCCACCCACATGCTAGCTGCAGGCAAAGCTGAGAAATTCATTCCCGAAGATGCTAGCTGCACCCCATACGGGCAGACGCCTGCCATTGTAGTGAATTTTCGTGAAGCGGATGGATTTGTTGTCAAAGGAGATGTACAGAGCGATAGAAAGACGTAGTCGAAGATCGTGACAGAAACACGTGCTAATGATGCCAAGCATACGAGACAAATCTGTGCTAGCAAACAATGTTGATGGTTGGGTGGTGTAGACTGTGAAGTGTGAGATCTGGTTGAAGGTAGAAGCAAGCACGGTGTGAGATTGTGAGCAAGTGCTCTCTACTGGCACGCCGCTGCCGCTTGACCCTACGTCTTTAGGTAGCTGGGGAAATACAGCCACAAGAGAAAGTCGCGTTGAGGTAGTTTCGGAGGTGCAAGTGCCAGCGACGCGTTTGCAATAGTACGACCACAAAGAAGCTCGTTTTGATAGGCCACACTTGTTGCCTATAACGGGGTTTGAAGCTGAAGACGAATGCTATGCGTGGAAACAACAAGACATGTATCCCGAATTGCACGAATCGTCTCAATGACAGAAGGTAGTGATTTCTTGCTCCACCAGGTCGCTGCGGATGCTACGAGCATGTTGCCTGTCTACCGATATTCAGTGTTCAGATGCAGCAATTAGGTTTTGGATGACTGTCTTCCGTTACCAGTATATAGCGCTTATGCCATTCTCAAGACTGTGGGTAACTTGCTACCGCTATTGACGATGAAGAAGGAGCATCTAGGTGTCGAACATGTTCTAATATGCTGGTAACATCAATCCTCACGGCTACATGCAGGCTGTGTATTTTCATCAAAGTAGCATGGACGGTTTCTTGCGTGTAGTCGCTTGACTGCTGCGTGTGGATCTTTTTCCATCTGCGCTCTCTTCGTTGTTGGAGTGTTGGCAATTTACACTCTGTCTTTTGGGCTTTAAAATGTATCTTGAGATGCGCCGTTTGTTAGACATCGGTCTGGTTTCCTGTAGGGGCGGTGGTTGCTAATCTCGGCTACAGGTACTTGGTTGGTAAGTCTCCAAATCCTTTTGTTGAGAATTCCATACGCTAACATGGCTAGTGTTTGCGTGCCTTGGGCAGTAGCCATATACCGAGACTAGACGAGTACTGCCCGAGGCATATGGAGACGGCATTGCGGTACAGCGAACAGACGCAACAGACGCGCAGGCGTCTGAAGGATGAGACGCGTGCGATACTGGCGTAGAGGTTTCGGACGTCGTGTACCTTTTGAGTTTGTCGCATCAGAGTTGCATCGATAGTTTGCTTTGCCATGTTTCAGGATGGACCAATTAGGCATGTGCAGCTGGTAAGCAGAGATACGGTGTAGGTGCAGGATGGTATATCCGGAGAGAACAGCAGCCCTGCAGGGAGCCGATGGGGACTAGGGCGGGCAAAACGAAAAACGTGCAGTCAAGCGGCGCTTTGACCCGTGGGTGAAATAATAATTTAGTCCAGCGCGCGAATATACAAGACGGCCCCTCGACGCTCCATCCCCTGTGTCCTCGCACCTTTTTTTCAGTTTTCTTGTATTGTATAGACTCTCCACTCTTCCGTTGGGGCGTCCTTACATTCACACGTTTGATACCCGGGTTTCTTCCCCCTTTCGCGCTGTTGGGCACCACTCACGCTTCAGCCGCCGCGAACAAGGCGATACCTATCGATAAGGAGCCCCTCCAAAAAAGAAATCCCTCGTCGCGGATTTCACAGCCAGCACAGCACACAGGCACAGCAGGCTTCTCTCGCAGATGCCGCACTCTGAGTCGCCACCCATGGCTCCTGCTATCGTCGTCGACAAGGCCAGCGCCGCCCCCGCGCCCTCGCAGGAGGATGTCAGCGCCTTTATCAGCAGCATCGTCACGGCCAAGACGTCGCACGCCTCCGTCGACGCCGCCTACGCCCTCACCACCCTCCTCCAGAACTCGGTCGGCTTCCGCGGCCTGACTGGCTATGGCATACTCGAGGAGATCAAGAAGTCGGCCGCCAACAAGAAGGACGCCGTGCGGAGAGAGGGTGCCATGAACGCCCTTGGTGCCTTCTTCGAGCGTCTCCCACGCACACAACGCCTGACCGAGGTCATCTTCCTCGTCCAGGACGCGGCGCTAGTCCCGCTCGCCCTCGACTTGCTGGCAGACAAGACTGCCTCCGTCAAGGAGTCGGCCAAGTACGCCCTCGACTCGCTTTTCGAGAACCTCAGTGCCGAGGCCAAGATCTGGGGTCTCTTGCCTGTGCTGACACAGTACCTGGGCAAGAAGTCTGGAAAGTGGCAAGGTGCTGCTTTCGCCTATGAGCTCATCGGCCGCATGGCCGACAAGGCCAAGATGGGCATGGAGAGCCTCGAGGTGGAGAAGGAGAAGGATGTTCTCCGTGACGCCATGGGCAAGAAGCTCGAGGGTCTCATCCCCATTGTCGAAGCCGGCATGCACGACCTCAAGTCCGAGGTAAGATACCACACGCACTCTTGAAAGAGAAGCTTGCTAACTCTGAACAGGTCGCAAAACAGTCCGTCAAGACGATGAACAGCCTCACCACCCTCATCCAGAACGATGATATCGCGCCCCGGATACCCTTCCTTGTCAAGGCTATCGAGGACCCCTCCACACAGAGTCTGCAGAAGGCTATCCACGCTCTCTCGCAGACTACCTTCGTCGCTATCGTCACATCCCCCGTTCTTGCTATGGTCACACCCTTGCTTGAGCGCTCCCTGAACACTCCCACCACATCTCAGGAGGTCACTCGCCAGACCGTTGTCGTAGTTGAGAACTTGACCAAGCTCGTCCACGACCCCATCGAGGCCCGCGCCTTTTTGCCCAAGCTCCGCCCAGGTGTCAAGGCCGTCAAGGACCGCGCTTCCCTGCCCGAAGTCCGTGAGATCGGTCAGCGCGCGCTGGATGTTATTGAGAAGGCCATGGCCGACCCAGACCACAACATCGACAGCGGCGCCATCGCCAGGGTACAGCCATCAGAAGTCCAAACCGTCATTGAGAAGCAGCTCAGCGCTACTGCCAAGGTGCTCGACTTCCCCGGAGACGCCGAGGTTTTGGCTGTCACTAAGCGCTACATCTCTGAAATGATTGCGGAAGTTGTTCACCAGCGGGAGCTTCAGCGCATCCCAAAGCTCGTTGGACCCTACTTGGAGCCTCTGGTCAACGCTGGAGATGCCGACAAGGTCGCAGATGCTGTGCACCAGTTCTACGTGGACGAAGACCACCGCAAGTTTGGCCAGCCCGTCAAGGAGGACGATGGCGAGGTCGAGATTGTCAACGCCGTATTCTCCCTCGGTTACGGTGGCATGTTGCTCCTCTCGCACACCAACCTTCGCCTGCTCAAGGGTCACCGCTATGGTCTCTGTGGCCGCAACGGTGCTGGAAAGTCTACACTCATGCGCAGTATTGCGAGCGGCAAGCTCGAAGGTTTCCCTCCTCAAGACGAAGTCAAGACCTGCTTTGTCGAGCACAACCAAGGAGAGGATGCCGATCTCTCCATTCTCGAGTACATCGTCCGCGACCCGCGCTTCGCGGACGAGAGCAGGGAACGTATCGAAGAAGTTCTCGAGGAGGTCGGTTTCACCGCTGGCCCCGAAGGCAGGCAGTCCCACAAGGTCGGCTCTCTGTCTGGTGGGTGGAAGATGAAGCTCGCTTTGGCGCGTGCTATGCTTATGCGCGCCGACGTGCTTCTTCTCGACGAACCCACCAACCACTTGGATGTTGCCAACGTCGCCTGGCTCGGAAAGTACCTCAAGTCTCACACCGAAATTACTAGCTTGATCGTCTCTCACGACTCCGGTTTCCTTGACGAGGTCTGCACAGACATCTATCACTACGAGCAAAAGAAGCTGGTTTGCTACAAGGGTAACCTTGCCGATTTCGTTCGACAGAAGCCTGAAGCCAAGAGCTACTACACTCTCTCGGCTACCCAGGTGCAGTTCAAGTTCCCTCCTCCCGGTATTCTTACTGGTGTCAAGTCGAACACTCGCTCTATCCTGCGTATGACCAACTGCTCCTACACGTACCCTGGCGCTTCCAAGCCATCGCTTGTTGATGCTTCTTGCAATTTGTCTCTTTCATCTCGAGTTGCCATTATTGGCGCCAACGGTGCTGGTAAATCTACTCTCATTAAGATGCTTACTGGCGAGACTATTCCTCAAGAGGGTACCGTCGAGAAGCACCCCAACTTGCGTATCGGTTACATCAAGCAGCACGCTCTCGAGCACGTCGAGATGCACATGGAGAAGACACCCAACCAGTATCTCCAATGGCGATACGCCAACGGTGATGACCGTGAGGTGCTCATGAAGCAGACACGTGTGCTCACTGAGGAAGACAAGAAGCAGATGGAAACTCCCATCGATCTGGGCGACGGCAAGGGCCCCCGCAAGATTGAGGCGCTCATTGGTCGTTCCAAGTACAAGAAGACCTTCCAGTACGAAGTCAAATGGCTGCACATGCTGCCCAAGTTCAACACGCACATCTCGCGTGAGACTCTCATTGAGAAGGGTTTCAGCAAGCTTGTGCAGGAGTTCGACGATCACGAGTCCTCCCGTGAGGGTCTCGGTTACCGTGTCCTCGAGCCCAAGGTCATCTCCAAGCACTTTGAAGATCTCGGCATGGACCCCGAGATTGCGAACCACAACGAGATCTCTGGTCTTTCCGGAGGACAGAAGGTCAAGGTTGTGCTTGCCGGTGCCATGTGGAACAACCCGCATCTCCTCGTTCTCGACGAACCCACCAACTTCTTGGACCGCGACTCGCTCGGTGGTCTCGCTGTTGCCATTCGTGACTACAAGGGTGGTGTCATCATGATTTCGCATAACGAAGAATTCGTTGGTGCTCTCTGCCCCGAGCAGTGGCACGTCGCCGACGGTCGCGTAACTCATAAGGGTCACCTTGCTGTCAACATGGACCGTTTCGAAGACTCGCGCCCTGGATCCAGCAACGTTAGCAGTAACGTCAGCTCCGCTGCGCCGTCAACAACTGGTACCCCAGTCATGAGTGACGCCGAGGGTAACAAAGACGACATGAAGTTCAGGTCAAGGAAGAAGAAGAAGATGACCAAGAAGGAACTCAAGGACAGGGAGGTCAGGCGTAGATTGAGGTACATTGACTGGTTGAACAGTCCCAAGGTATGTTTTCTCTTTTCCATTATTGTCAACATCATGAACGGTTTGCTAACAGTTCGATCAGGGTACACCTCAACCACCCAACACTGATGACGAGGCCGAGTGAGTGTCTTCACGGCTGTTTCGGATTGCGATCGCGTTATGATATCTTAGACCATGCAGATTTGCATTGCTCGGCGTTTTATAGAGGCTTGGATGACTGATTGCGTTTGCATCAAGCGATAGATTATGACTTCTTCGCCTAGCTGCATCCTTATGATGAATCAAAAAGCATTTCTTCTTCTTCAAACTACAGTGCTTCTTCGACTCCTGCCTGTAACTCTCTATATATAATTTTGTGTCTGATATGGTGTGACGCATGAGTGCTCGTGCTACGCGATACGTTCCTGGAATGTAGAGGTCCTTGACGCGCTAACCTGGTGTAGCGGATCGTACAAACGTGACTGCATTTCACGAGGAGGACTATTATGCTAAGCTGTACTTCTCCACCTTGTATCTGAGGGTATAGACGCGCACCGCACAGCTGTTTGCACCCTTATCACCATGCTGCCATTCGGCTTGAATTGTTTTCCGATTGTTCGTTGCTTAGTATCTCACTTCATACAGACTGTTAGCCCACGAAATGATCTGGCACCTTCACTGGTTCATCCAGGCGGCGGTCAAAATGCTGGTCGGGAGCACAGATAGTGTGCATGTAACTCCTTCCACCTTCACTACCTCTCTAATTTCAATCTCAATCTCACCGCTCCGCGCCGACCAAACACTCTCTCCACAACTTGGACCCTGAATTGCCCAGGTAAGTACCGTCCACCAGCTTCTGCCTAGTGGTGTAGCAAACAAACGCTCCCACCTGTGGTAGTTATAAGCCTGCGGTTCTTCGACCTCTCTTCTTCCTCCTCACCTCTCTCCTCTATCCTTCTCCACGATCAACCACTTCAATCTATATCACACACAACAACAAGATCAACGATTAGAACACCGCTTCCATGAAGCTCCTCCTCCTTGCCCTCATCGGCCTGGTAGCGCTTGTCGCTGCCTCGCCAGTCGAGACCACCGCCATCACGGTCCCCAAGTACAAGAACAACGGTATCCACTCGTAAGCTACCTCACTTTCTCTGAATTCCTCATGAAGCAGTCTACTAATCTTCAATAGTTACAAGTGTGATAGCAACACGAACGTCCTCTCTTGTGTTTCTTCTGGCACCTGCTCTTTCGTCGAACACTGCTCGACCAAGTGCTTCGCGGACCACCAAGGCGCTGGCTGCATTGGCTCCTCAACCGTTGCTATCGAGGCATCCGAGAAGCGCGACACCGAGACCGAGGTCAACGCCGAGGCAAAGAAGACTTACGAGTGCTCGAATGGTTAGTTTTACCACACGAATGGTATATGAGACATCTACTGACTTCGTATACCCATATCTAGACCACACTGGTGTCTTGGTCTGCCAGTATGGCTTCTGCCAGACCGATCGCTACTGCAAGAAGGGTACCAAGTGCCATGACAAGTGTTCTTGCTGTAGGAACATGGACGTCCTTGAGCGAGACATCGGTGACGTGGACACAACCAAGGTTAGTTTACAGTCTGAGGACATTTTTATTTCACTTCCTTCCATCACTTCTTCCCCCATCGTTCCAGCCACCACGTATGGCTCTTGTAAGCAGACTCAAGCGGGAGTTCAATCTTGTCGAGAGAACAACTCCATGATTGTGGTCTGCGACATTGCCGATTACATGTGGAGGTCGGTTGGCAAGTGTCCTGGTGGCGATGGGTGCTGCGAGGCTCGACCCGACAACGCAAATGCCGTTCAGTGCAAATGCTAGACTGACACAAGCTTGCTTGGGGCGCCCTTCTTCTACGTTGTCCCTGAGCTCAACGGCTGTACACTGCTAACAGAGTTTTGTGGATTGCACAGCCCGAATCCGACGACGACTTCCATGCCCTGCCAGTCACCACGTCCGATACGCTGGTCTCGCGTGGCAACTGTGTACCTGGCACCTATTCCTGCGCGCAGAATAGTCCCTGGATCGTGGTCTGCGATTATAAGGGTACCTACCAGTACTCATCCGATTGTGGCGAAACAGATTGCATCACGGACAACGTCGTCGCTCATTGCTGGAACCCGGGCGAGGAGTGGAAGACCTATGCCAACTTGGCCTCGCGTGTCGACCACCCGCCCCAGGACGGTAAGAGATGTCCTTATACAATCTGCATGTGAGATACTTACTGATTTGGCATGCATCCATTTAGGTCCATGTGTGCCTGGCACGTATGGCTGCGTGCTAAACCCTTCCACCAATACCCCCTGGGTCACCGTCTGCGGCTGGAACCAAAAGTTGCAGTACTCCTCTGATTGCGGTGATCAGAACTGTCTCGCGAGGGAGGACGGTGCGGCTCATTGCTGGAACAAAGGCGATCAGTGGAACGCAAACCCTGCCTCGGTCTCTCGCCGCGATGAACCAGAGCGAGTCTTACCAGACCTGACTCTGTCTGGCAACTGTTCACCTGGATCCTACGCTTGCGGCTGGCGCAACGGCACGCAGACCAGCTGGGTCATCACTTGTGACCAGTCTGGAAACTGGGTGTGGTCATCCGACTGCGGCCGTGGTATGGAATGCGACTACGCCAATGGTGACGCGCATTGTGTTCCCCCAAAGTCCACCATTGGAGCCCGTGAGGAACTGTCCGAAGTTCCAGCAGACTTGGCTCCAACAGCATCTTGCCGTCCTGGTGAGTTCGGCTGCGCCTGGAGCAAAGACACGGTGACGGATTGGACCATTGTTTGCGATCAGTCCGGAAAACATTGGTTGTGGTCCTCTGACTGTGGTCAAGGCATGAAGTGCGAATGGGGTGGTGGCGTTGCACACTGCGTGCTTAACAAGGTTCTCTTCGAAGCTTGAGAGGCATTTCGGAGCCTTAATCCCTCAGCAAAGGCCTGAGAGGAGCAAAGAACCCGGGGATAAGAGGACGAGAGTGGTTGGTGTCGATTTCAAAAGCATGAAGGGTTTAGATGATGGTTGGCAGTAGAGCTTCAAGCCTGCTTAACAACTCCGTCTTGAAGAGTATCTAGTAATGAACAAGATGCTCCTGCTTTGATTATGTTTTCCATCTTATCGCATGGTGATGTTCGTCGAGCATATGCGACCAACAATTCCAGTCAACAAAATGGTATTGAACGACCGAAGCTTGTCGAAGCATTACCCAATGAGCGCGATACGCAGTGGACAGGAGGATTGACGATGATGTCGTGAGGTAGAAGAAGTAAGCGATCGATCGAGTACGATGTTGCTAATAGTTGGTGGCGCTAAGCATCTTATGCCGCGGGATCTGAAGCTTAGCAGAGCTGCACAACATCGACCAGGCTGCGAGCTACAGTAATCGCTACACGTTTTTGAAGTAACGATAAGGAAAAGATACGCAGACGCATCTATCAACACCAAACATGAATGGGAAATTCTAGAGCAAAGCCGATGGGTGCCATTTCTGACAAGGGGCCCTTGGAAAACAGGTGGGGCGTACCCAGAACCTAGTCTAAGATCGATATCGCGTCCCTGCATACACTCGTCATAGGTCGAAAAACAACCCTTTGATCTTCCCGTACGTGCTTCCAGCTGACCAAGAAGCATGCAAAGCAGCGCCAAACGCCTACCGCTGTTCTGGCTTGCGAAATGCTGAAGATCTAGACTTTCCCCCTCGTCAGCTTCTCCTTCACTCTACACGACCTCTGCGAGCTTTTCTTATTGCCAATTGAACTTTCGCAGCCTTGTATTCGCCGCCAGGCACCAGTCACGATGTCGTTCATCGTCGAACATGCGAAACAGGCCGTCACCGACAAACAAACAAATGTCGTCATCTTTTCGGCCACGGCTATCGCCCTCTATGGCTACGATCAGGGTATGATGTCCCTCATCAATACGAACAATGACTACCTCTCCACCATGGGTCTCGAGGAGGAGTCACCAGTTGTGGGAGTTATCGTGGCTGTCTACTACCTCGGTTGTGCGGTTGGCGCTGTACTCTTCTCCATGCTCGCTGATAAGCTGGGAAGGAAAAAGAGTATCTTCGCCAGTCTGGCGACGGCGAGTTTAGGTAATTTGATCATGTTCGTGTCTGGAATGGGCATGTTAGGCAAGAGCACGGAGATCGCATTGGGTGTCATGTTAGTTGGACGAGTAGTCATGGGATTGGGTGTTGGAGGTATCGACGCAGTCATCCCTACTTACTCTTCCGAGTTGAGCTCAGACAACTCTCGTGGCAAAGCGCTGGCCCAGGAATTCCAGTCCAATATCTTTGGTCTCGTCATGGCTTTTGGTATCAACTTGCTCGTCACTATTCTTCTTGGCAAGCAGAATCAATGGGCTTGGCGCATTCCCATTATCGTCATGCAGGTCTACCCTGTTCTGCTCATGGCTGTTGTTGAACGCCTTCCAGAATCTCCACGCTGGTTCATCTTCCATGACCGCCAAGAAGATGCAAAGAATGCGCTAAACGATATCTATGGAGATGAAGGAAAGGAGAAGCTTGATGAGCTGCTCGAACAGCATGAGAAGGAGAAGGATGTGAAGGTTGGATATTTGGATATGCTTACACCCGGGCACGAGCAATTCCATCCTACTATGGTCACAGTCATGTGCCAAGTCAACCAAGCTCTCACAGGATATGGCGCAGTCAGTGTATATGGGCCGCAGATTTTTGAGGTAAGTGAACACGGTTACGAGGGTATTGTGTATTGAAGCAATGCTAACCATTGAGAACAGCTCCTTGGCTTCTCCGTCCGCAACTCCGAGTACCTGACTCTTGGAAACTACACATCCTACTTCTTCCTCATGACGCTCGCTTGGCTTCTAATCGACGCTCTTGGCCGGCGCCAACTTATGATTCAAGGTTCTATCGTCTTATCCTCTTCGTTCGCACTTCTTGCTGTCTTTGGTGGTCTAGTAGCCAAGTCTGACTCCATTGATATTCCCGTTATCATTCCTGGGATCATCGGAACTGTCATCTTGTTTGTAGCCACCGGCGCATTCGGAATTGGTTGGCTCTCGACCGTCTGGCTTTTCCCCACAGAGGTTTTCCCAACCACCGCACGTGCTCAAGGTACCGCTATTTCCGTCATCATCTGGGGTCTCGCAAACTTTGCCATCACATTCCTTACGCCTGTCCTATTCAACAACCTCGACTACTTCATTTTCCTCGTCTTCGCTGCAACCAATGCCTTCGCCGGTCTGTGGACATACTTCTATCTTCCGGAGACTGGTGGAAGGACTTTCGACGAGAACATGGACTTTTTCAAAGAGGCTGGTGAGACCGGAACCTGGAGGGTTGGAAAGGTTCGCAAGGGCGAGTGGAAAAAGATGCTGTACGATGATCCTGAGGGAGAGGGCAATGTAGATGCAGAACGCGTACCGCTGTTGCAGAGGGTGGGGGACCAAGTTCCTAGTGTGGAACAGTCTCGAGAGCCGAGCCGGCAACGAGAGGAGTAAGAAGAGAGAACCGTCCCTTCTATATCGCGGACCAGTCTCGGCTCCGCGGTATTGTAAAAGTAGCGAAAAAGGTAAGCCTCGTCAGTCGGTTACTTCTTAAGCCCTGCGCTGACCTCTTCACAAGCAACTATCCTATCCAATTAGCACTAGAATGAATAACAACATCATCATCACAAAAGAAATTCATGGAACCTTGGTATGTTGAAAAGTAGAATATACCCGGTTGACGCTCGACCATTGCCCCACAAACCAATATACATGATATAGCCATCCTGGTCGCGGAGAATACCCGGCATCTACATGACCCAAGTACCGACCACGAGCCACGACCATTAGATTGAAAGCGATCAAGACCCTAGATACCATCGTCATAACTCTGCATGTAATTAGTTTCCCACGAGCTTAACAGATCCCGAGGTCTGCATGCCTTCTGTTCATAAGATGAGTGGCATCCGTGGGGTGTGTGCAACAAATCACCTTTTATGCCAACCTCCATAATGCGTTCATTGAAGCATACTCTTGCGCTGTGCGTCTTTGCAACGCATGCTGCGATCTATGCGACAGCACAAAGAACAGGTGCCCCATCGGACTCCCCCCAAGACTCTAATATCTATCAATCCTCTTACCTTGGCGGTGAACACAACATCGATCCCTCAGACCTCCCACAATTTACACAAATCTGGAATGCATCCTTCAATGCAGACGAAAAGGTAGTTTCCATTGCTTTCTGTGTCTCATTCGTCATCCTCGCTAACATACATGGAGCACTGGGCGCGTCCCCTTGTACATACACTCTCTTCGACAGGTCGCCAAATTGTCTTCACAGCCTCCACCGAAAACCGCATTAGAACCTTTGATGCAGAAACTGGCCAGCTACTGAATGAACGCCAAGTTGCTCCACCATGGCCAATGGATCAAGCCTTCTGTACAACGCACGTCAGCAAGACACTAGGTATAATGGGTACACCAGTAATCTACCGCGAAGATGGCAACGAAATCGCATTCTTCTATGTCAAGAGCTACATTGAAGACTACAGAGAACCAGGTGGGGCGTATCCTCCTTTGAACTCAGTGTATTATCTCTACGGCGTTTATCTCGATACGCTACAGGATTTATACAAGTACCCAATGATCATTGATGGCCAACCCTCCGACAACGATATACGCAAGACCTTCTTGGGCGGTTTGGTATTGCAAAGGCCAGCATTGCTATTATTGGGCGATGTGTTATACGCGGGATTTGGCGGGCTGTGCGACGCGTTCAACTACACTGGGAGCGTTGTCGCTGTTAACTTGGCAACGCAGAGTACGTATACATGGACGACGCAAGCCGGAAACACGAGTCTGTACAGCGATGACTGGACGGCGTGGCATGGTGGTGGAGCGAATGGCATTTGGCAAGCTGGGATGGGTCTTTCGTCGGATGGTAAAGACGTCTTCTTCACGATCGATAATGGCGGCGGGTCAACGGCTACGACGCTTGATGTTACTCCCAAGGAGGGTCGCAAGCCTTTGGCTGTTCTTTCGGAAACGGTCGCGAGGATTACGCTTGATGAGGCCAGTGGTGCTGGCATTCAACTGGTTGATTTCTTCCGTCCGTCGGACTGGCAGACCGACTCTGGACAGGACATTGGGAGTGGGGGCCTCGCTATCCTCGATACTAGTATCTTCAAAACAATGGATGGAAAGAGGATTGGTGTTGCAACGTCGACGAATCCGAAAATGTATGTTACGGAAGTTGACAACTTAGGCGGTTATTTGCAAGGGAAAGATGGCACGGACGGTATTCTGCAGACTATCGCTTTGGAAGGCGAGGTCTTCGGTGCAATCGGATCCTACCCTCTCGAAGGCGGATACATCTATGTTAACCCTGGTAACACCGCCTTGTCGGCCTACGCGTTTACTCAGAACGCATCGTCGCTCTTCAGCTTCGCTGGTAAGTCCTCTGAAACAAATGGACACTGGGGCGGCGCAGGCCTTCCGACAATCACCAGCAGTCACGGCAAGTCTGGTACAGGTATCGTATGGGCAACTGATGTACAAGCCGGGCTGAGGGCGTTCAAAGCGGTACCAGTCGATGGGACACTGGTTGAGTTGCCGTTACCAAAGGTAGAGGGTGCTGTGAAGTTTGGCAGGCCGGTTTTTGGCAATGGCAAGGTGTTTGTTGTTGATGGTCGGGGACGTTTGATCGCGTTGGGGAAGCGTCTGTAATGACAGAGGCAGATGGAGGGAAAGTGAAAGCAATGGGAGCAGGCTGCATCCAGAGTGGTAGTGAATCCATCATCGACACAAGTAGAGTTTAAAGGTTTGATGTACGCGAATGCCCACTGTCCCTTTCACCTCAACCTTTAAATCGAGTTTAAAGTTGCTGCCTTGGCTTTCTAGGGCTTATTCGCTGATCTCGGACATGTTCACGGGTCTCTCGGCCTTAAGCATTGCGGTTCCGGGCGAAACCATCAAGTCCGCAACTCCTCCCGTATCATCTTCGTCTTCTGGCTCTAGGCAACAACATAACGACCAAAGTCGGCCTTTCGTAACAGCTCAAATCGCGACTCTGGTCTCGGACATACATGCGCATCTCTCAGCCACCAGTGATAACCAACGAGAGGTAGCGTGCACAGACCCCTGACCGCTGCATGATGTCGGATCTCGTTCGCTGTCCGCTGAAACTAGTCCAGTTTGAAGATTAGCGCCACCAGTCCATGTGCACAGCATGTGCATGAGGTATTGGTGTGAGGGGGTGGTTCATGATATAAAGCTCCCCAATCTGTCGCTTTCATCACTTCCATTGTTTCAATCATTTTCGTCCATTAACACGTTGCGACTTCCATACTTTGTCATCCTTGAAGAAGCTCATTTCCTGCGACCACATCTAGACTTTGTTCAACTAAGCAAGATCCTCGGACCAATCACAGCATACGTGTTTGTGAGCAAGTACCAAAAGAGGCGTAACAAGACAAACCGATTATATAAACAAATCTTGCTTGTCCTGCCTCACTTTTGCTATCAACATTTCCGACACGCAGAGTCTTGGAAGAAGACAAATACTCAGTATCGTCCCATCATCAGAAGATACCCAGCATCAAACCCCAACATGTCGACTACACACCTCACTATCCACGACCTGCTTCGCATAACATATACCTATGAGATGCGCGCTCTCGAAGCACAAGCACGCATGCAGCCAAGGCCGCGCTCAGATTCAGCTTGCTCGGTACGTTTCTCGCAACTTGTAGAGAACGACGAAGAGTAGAGACTAACGTCATCGATGTACAGATGCCAGAAACATGTGCACACCTTTCACCACCCACACCCTCCTCACCAGAACACGCAATCCTCGAGACCGATTTCACTCAAATGTACTGTCGCAAGAGTCGTCGCGCTTGAAGCGCTCTCCTACCCCGTTGATCATCATACGACATGTGATGGCGAGAACGCCACCACGCTATTAGACTGAACCGCGAGAACACTTTCCCGAAAACCTCAACTCCTTGTTGAGCCGAGACAGGACGACAGGCGTACATGGTCTCTGCACCAGGCACAGTTCCCACCTGGATCGTCACCACCTTCCCCACCCATGGCAAATAGCAATGTTTTGGGATGTTTGCGCGTCCGGCGCATGGAGCTTGCATGATGGGTGTATGAATCGGACCGACTGTCGGGGCGATCATTGGCCGAGCAAGGTCGAAGCTGATGTCGCGTGGGGAAGGAGAGCGGAGGATGTATGTTTTTCGCGCATGCGCTGGAAGCGCTGGAGTGGTGCGAAGTCATGGGCTGTGGTTAAGGGCTCGAGCTCGGTTGTTGGTAACACTAAATATTTGATATCGTAATCTTGCTGCGATGCAATATGCGCATTGGTTTCGATGTAATGGTATGTCTCGGATGTTTGATGCTCGGTAAGTCCGTGGTAAAAGATGTGTGCAACCGCCTATGGTGATATAAAACTACCAAGTCAGTCACTACCCTCTACATCCCATGCAAGGTGATTCGAATCGTCTTCGTCTTAAAGACCAGTTCTCGAAACCTGAATGTTTGCACTTGCTAATGACTAAGTCTTCATCCTGCACATGTGTAGATGCAACATTCTTCGCGCCTCTAACCACAGGTACATTACCTTGCCTCATAACAAGGCCACTTGCCAGGGTGCATCTGATGAAGTCTCGCAGCCGTATCAAATGGCTGTTTTGATATATAGCACTAACACCTATATCAACAGTCGTAAGTACTCTGTCATTTTTCATGTCATCTTGTAGAAGCATTGTGATACGCATGATAATCACACTCCAGAGGAGAGCCCCTTCAGCATTTCGTGGATGACACCACAAGTTTTGCTTGTGGTAATCACAATATGCGATAAAATCTTTACGCGCAGTACATCGCATTTACCTATTCTTTAGTCCTTGCAGCAACGGAGAACCTGTGTAAACTACTGCGAGATAGTGGAAGTAGCAGCCGTGCTACTCAAGATGTGTGCTACTGAGGGCTAAGCTACATAGCTACCCACAACATCGCAAGCTCTTCTACAAGCGCCTGGCCAGCTGGCTGGGCGCAAGATCGAAGGAGATGCAGAGTCTGGTACCATCTAGAAATTCGAACAGACTGCGGAGTTGTGGTAAGAAGGCGTGGTGGCAGAGCTTGAGAAAAGCAAAAAGGGGACAAACCAACGACAAACATTCGAACGCCAGCTAGGAGCCACACCCCCATGAATCGAACTCGGCTCCCTTGCTGAACCCTCTTTGTCGACTCATATACATCGAAGTAGCAAAAGGAAGAGCAAAAAGGTTCAGGTACCACAGATACTATACTGTGGTACCCTACATCCTCCGGGGCAGACGTAGGCACACCCCTCATTTACCTTGAACCTCTTGTCGAATTCACGTTGTAAAGAAAGACATCACTTACCTGTGAATCCAAGTGGAATCCCACTGGGCCATATTTTGTTGAGCGAGGTGACGCCCGCCGTTGATGGAATAGAGACTAACTTCGGCGTATATATACCGCAAGCTGAGAGGAGGGGTTGGTCCAACCGAATTTCGGAGTCTGAGGGGAGAGGCGGCAGCGTAGGCATTTCGCTAAGGTAGGCGACGACAAGGTTTCAAGGGGTCCAGGCGACGAGGAGCACCGATTTTACATTGTGGCGCCTGATCCGATGCTCAGCTTCGTTGGGGTGATTGCTCTCCGAACGAGTCCTCCTCCGCGGCCATAAACTCAACCCTGTCCCATCTCCACTGATCGATCCCTCTACACCAGTGTTGGGCTGACAAGGTCGTCAATGCCGTGAGGAACATGCTCGAAGCACTCTCAACACAGCTTGATATGGTGTTGCATCTCATCTGGCTCGGTGGTGAGCCTTGGCGCAAGTTTGACTCGATATTGCCCCCCCTCGACAGCGACAACACCACTACAACACCAACATTGCGCAGTCGAACAACATACTAATACTCTTGAGAGCTGCAGCATCCAGCTCTCGTAATTAGAAGAGATATCATACGCGTCCAATATGACTCCATTGCGGACCTCTGGAGTGACGACAGCTTCGACGATACCCTGCGGAACACCCAGCAATGTGGCAACTGCTTCAAGCATGTCAACCAACTCAAAGAGAGTAGGGAGGAGGAAGCTACTTGATAGGTTATGCAGTCGAAGTATCGACCATCTAGCCTGCGCCTCTTGTAGACATCCAGCGCAACAGCGGACTTTCCACACCAACTCGTAAGCAACAGCCAGCTAGGAGGCAGGTACCTCTCGCGCAGAACTTTGCTGACTTCGCGAGATTGGGAATCCTGCAGGAAGTCTGTCAAAGCGCCATGCTTACGGCAAAGCCGATCGAACGAGATCCTCGCGACCGTAAACCTCTGTCTTGGTTTTCAGCGGCCTCCTATGCGCTACATTCAAGCACAGCGATGATGACAAGTCGGCCTCCATCACGAAGGCCGAGAAAGTATCACCAACAACCGCAGCGAGATGGTCATAGTCCTCGGTGTGGGGAGCACTCGACTCAGGGCTGCCTCAAGGCCACACTCGCCACAACAAACTCCGCGGGGATTTCCAAGTCTTCTGAGAGGTAAACAAGAACACCACCATTGCGGCAGTGATTCCAGAATAAGAAGAACTGGGGCTGAACAAGACCAGAGGCATTCACACCCACCTTAGATAAAACCGGAAAGACTGTTACCTCTCTGTCTTGAAGTGCCTCCCCAATGGCCTGCCCCCAACCAGTGCGACATGGAGCAGAATAATCTGACAGAGATGCAGAACTGTGAATACTGATAGTACTCAGGGGAAGGCATTGAACGTGCACAGCGTGGCCGCTGCCCCTTCCTCGAGGACTCAACGAGAGTCAGGCGCCCCTTCCGCACAATGCGTACTTTAGCTATGCGCCTACACAACACAATCGAGTTGAGAAGCCACGAAGCGACACGATGTCCACGACCCTCGAACTCCATCTCCCCCGGCGTCGACGGCGATACAAAAACTCCTGTTCGAGTCGAAAGATACTAGACTTTCTCGAGGATACAGCAGAGACCGGTAACACCCACGCAAGGCGCGACCAGGAGATAGAAGCCAGCCACCGAAGGTACAGGCTGCTGTTAAGTGCGCATATCATATGGCTGGGGTGATAAGGAAGACGCCGAGAGTGCTCGACACGGAAGATCTGGTATAATATGGATACCTTTGGCCGAAGAAAGAGAGGCGCGAATCCAGCCCTTAGGATACTAACGAAGTGTACGAGGTATTACTGCCTTATTGCTACCTCCCAAGACCATGGGAAAATGGCGGAACGACTCGCTCGAGTACTGGATGTTTTGACCAGACATAAGATCTCGAATCGTCTGCGGTATCTAATGTTACACCGATTGCTGTAACTGCATCCCGACACACAGAACGCACCCTAAGCCTCGTCTGCTTCGTAGCAGTGTAGCGTCTTTAGAACGTAACCGAAGACCAGTAGCATCAAGGAGGGGTATAGGCCACTGACTATCATCGTCGACACATCTTTTGGAGCCATCTCAGCAACCGGGTGTCTACCAGTGATAACGACAGTGATACGCACCGCGATATATGCTTAGAGTAACAAAACGTTACCGTTACTGACTGGCTCATAGTCACTGGCGCTGCTAAGATGGGATCCCCAATTGAAAGCAATGCGCGTACGAGTGTTCCGATTCTTAGTCATACTCGCTGGCGCATGAGGATACTCAACCGTCATT